AGGGAAGCAGGGAACTACAGCCCCACTGGTAAACTACTTGCCAGCATGCATTGAGCCTTGGGTTCCATACCTATCACCAAATAAAAGCTCCCAGCTGGGGTAGGAGCACTCCTGTAATCTCAGCCTTCAGGAGGTGGAGGCAGGAGGATCAGAAGTTCAAGTTCATCTGTGGCTACACAGTACCCATTCAAGACCAGGTCAGACTAGGCTAAATAAGACTGTGTCAAAAAAGAACAAAACAGAAAACAGAACCTGAAATCCCGTGTCTCCAGGAGAGATTCGTTAATGATGTTCTAGGTGTCAATTATTAACTCCCTGAAATTGTACTCAAATCTTTCTAAGTAACCACACTTTTCTAGAAATACAGATAGATACCGACTGTCAGGATGGGCAGATTTATCTATGACAGTACAGAAGAAAATCAAGAATATCTAAATTACATAATTTTTAGCAATAAAGAAGAAAAAGGAATAAAATATTCATCAAATAGTTGTGAACTTTCCACATCTTAATAGTTTCCATGAAACAAAATCCTTGGCAATGTGTGTAATGGTTTTAACTAGCCTGACATCACCTAAACCACAGAGCTGCTGTGATTCACCAGTTAGCAGTCCCAATCACACCAGTCACCTGCACTGTTTTCAGTACAGCCATTCAGAAAGTCACCATTTCCATGGCTCTAGAGTACAAATATTTAGTTTCTAAGGGGGAAAAAAAAACCTCTTTCAAATTACTCTAACAGTTACAACTAACAAAGCAGGTACATAAGGATCATGATTTTCCATGTCTTTCACTTGATAAGCAACAAACCAGTGTCCAGTTCAAACTAGGAAATAAACGGTTCAACAAGTCTGTAGTGTGTGTAAATTCAAAAGTCCAAAGGAACAAAAACTTACAACAATTAAACAAAATAATACCTTACCACATTCTGTGTTTCTGATCATGCTATTTAAAATTAGCACTCATTTAAAATAACTCATGATTGTAGTACCTTTTGATTTAACTAATCCAGGACTAATCTTTGGACTAATCAAAAACACATGACCAATCAGTCATCTTTGAAGATAATTATTTAATTTATCATTAACTTAAACAGGGATTTCTGTAGTTTATAGACTGAAAACTCAGCTACAAAACTGAACAGGATAAAATGAATATAAATCAATCATTATGACAGATGAACTTATTTGAAAGTCAAAATGAACAAAATATTCTATGTCAGCAAAATGTCTCTTGTCAAAATCTACTCTTTAAGATTTCATTATCATGTACTAAAACAAATATCCTTTCCAACTCTACAGAGAAACATGGCTTACATCATAATTCAAAACTTCCTTTTAGGAACATAAATTTTCCTACCTCTGAAATATATTGCTTGATCATACTTAGTTCTAAAGTAAAAACCTTAAAGGTAAATTAAAGCAACATTAAGCTTGTTACTGATTTTCAAACAGAAGTTTTTCTTTTAGAATATCACCATTAATGATAACAATGGCAATAGTAATATATATAAATTACTTTTATAAATAATTTACATATAAATTACTTAAGATCTAAGTAAGCAACTTTGGCAGTTTTCCCATATATACTGTAGCTGATATAAGTAAGATAAATTTCTAAATGAAAGATGTCTTACTTTAGGGTTTCTATTGCTGTGATGAAACATCATGATCAAAAGCAAACCTGGGGAGGAAAGGGTTTATTTCAGCTTACACTTCCAGGTAACAGTCCATCACTGAGGGAAGTCAGGGCAGGAAATCAAGGCAGGAACTAAAGCAGAAGCCATGGAGAAACACTGCTTACTGACTTGCTTGACTGGCTTTCTTACATACCCAGTACTACCTACCCAGGGGTGGCACTGTCCCCATTGGGCTGGGCCCTCCCACATCAATTAAATCAAGAAAATGCCTCATGGACTAGCCTACAGACCAATATTATGGAGCCATTTTCTCAATTAAGACCCCCCCTTCCCAGGTATGTCTAGTTTTGTGTTGACAAAAATCAACCAGCACAAAGAATTTGAAGATTATAGTACAAATTCAATGTGTTCAATTGTGTGCGTGTGTGTGTGTGTGTGTGTGCGCGCGCGTGCATGTGTGCAGAGAGAGAAGATAAAAAGACCTTGGCTTCTAAATGCTTACAGTCCCATAGAGAACAATGAGAGGGAAAAAGAAAGAAAAAGTCCCTCCATACCTAAATGAATCTTTATAGCATACTACTTATAAGTATTAACTTAGGCCAATTTTATCTAATTATGACTTTAATGACTCAGAAAACATCAAGATTTATTAATTATCGACAAGAAAAAGCCCCTCAAAGTAGAATAAGTGAAACCTCTCCTATTCTCTCCCTTAGCTAATAATTCAACACTCTTTCCTCCATCCTCTAACCCAGACAAACCCCTTCTCATCGCTGGCTATCTCAGTAAACACTTATAACTGCTCACCCTACATGTGTTACTTGGAAGTTTAAAAATGAACAAACCAAAAGAACAGGTCTAGCTGAGAACATCATCATAAAATCCTGGCTTTAAAGATGAAGCACTTCATTTGTCTATTTCGAAAACATGTCTGTTTAGAAGGCTTACAGGATACATGATAAAAAAATACTCTGAAACACAGGAAGACAAGACAACTTGTATCACTTGCACCCATCTCCACTCAACTAGCTTCCTGGCACTAAGACAGCTTGTGATCACACCCTCGAGTATCAGAAGGGTATAGTATTCATTCATTGAAATATTCATCATTATTTCAATCTTTGTAAGAACTAAGTTCTTCAAAATATAAACAGAAGCAAGTTTAAATGGTGCCATTTAAAAACTCTGTGGCCGGGCGGTGGTGGCTCACGCCTTTAATCCCAGCACTCGGGAGGCAGAGGCCGGCGGATCTCTGTGAGTTCGAGGCCAGCCTGGGCTACCAAGTGAGCTCCAGGAAAGGCACAAAGCTACACAGAGAAACCCTGTCTCGAAAAACTAAAAAAAAAAAAAATAAAAAATAAAAAAAAAAAAATAAAAACTCTGTGACCAAGGCTGATGCTAATGTCGAATGTTTCTAAAGTCTCCATAAAAACAGGTAACCAGCAGAGCATGGGCTGCACACCTTTCATCCCAGCACTAGGAGGGCAGAGGATCTCTGTGAGTTTGATTCCAACCTGGTCTACATAGTAAATGTCAGCCTAGGCAAAACTACATAGTGAGACCCTGATTCAAAATAAATAAATACATAAAACTAGGATCATCAAATTATCAAACAATTACTCTTCTGCTAGGTTCCAGATGATTTAAAACTGTAACCTTCGCAGCACCTCCTTCAAAACACAGGCTGAGATTACAGACTATCTTGACAACTAACAGAAAGAGAGGAATAGTGATTTTTCTGCCTTTGTTTTTGAATCATCATATGATCATATGTAGAGTTATAAAAATAAAATACAAGATAGTATTAACTTTACCAAAACTGTCCCTGAAAAATAAAGTATTGCAAACTGTCAGCAAAGGCAACTCTAAGCAATGATGTAAAACTATAATATTCCAAGGTTCTCAGAGCCATTTTCAAATCTTAAAAGCTTTACCCAGGGAAATGTGGAGTGTATTTCTAAGCAAAAACCGAAACTTTTTGCAAAACAATGTTTTTATTTTAGCATGTAGTTCCCCCAAAGGCGATACACTCTTTATTCCTGTTCTGTGCCTTAAGACAGAATCTGCTTTTATCCCTCAGCAAGATATGAACCAGCTACTAGCCTGACAATGCCAAGAACCATGACAAAATGGATTATTAATGAGAAACTGAACTCCAGAACTCTATTAATTTATGTCTTCCTGTCGGATCCAAAAGATATATCAGCCTTCTCACTCCAAAGAAAAAAATGCCAACACTGTACTTTGTTTTAAAGTTCTACACAGATGAAGAATTCATTATCCAAAGTACAGTTCTGTTATTTCAGGCTTTCTTGTAGAATAAAGAATCTTTATCAAATGCCTAAGAAAGCTGCTGACAAGTGCAAGTACCTTGCAAAATATATTTACGTCAAACATTCACTGAGGAAAAACAGGGGGAGGGGCAGAGGAAAAGGTGACAGCCCCTGCAGCACCCTTGTCCCACCCTGTCCTAGCAGTCTCGAGAAAACTAAGCTCTTTTAATTCCTATGATAACATGGTATGCAGTATTAACACAAGTGTATGTTTGTAAGCTTTTTTAATTCTTAATTATACTAATTATTCTGACATGAAGGGAAATGATCTAACAAGGAAAGAGAGGAATGTGTGATTTCTTTATGCATAAACAACAATGTTCAAATGACATAAAATATCCTTTTAAGCTTTCATAAAAAAATCCATCTAATCTATGCTTATCATAATATTTATGAAATAAAAAAAAAACAGAGAGGAAAAATTGCTATAATGTGCTCTGTGTGACCTCTGCTTTCTACAGAGAATGAAAACAGGCTTTTGCTTTTCAATCCCCATCAAAGTGGAGTAAAAGGAGGAACGGCGTTCCCGTGCTCACTGCCATTAATCATTGCTTTCTTCAAGCAAGTGCGTATTAATTTCTGTCATCCCAAACATCATCGAGTATTGTTACAGCACCGTTCACTCCTCATTCACCACCAGTTGTTACCAGTTTCCCTACACTGAGCAAAGACAGGGTGAATCGTGTGGATTTCAGTGTTAGAGGCCTTTATCCCTGGGGTGCTGACACCAATTAAGCCATTTCAAGAAGAAATGAGAACAGGCCCAACCCTTCCATGTAACAAGAGCTTGCACCTAGCTTTGGCAGGTTGCCATTTTCTCTGGCTTCACACTATAGAAATACTCTTCTCCACATCTTTCTGAATGATTCAGACTGTTTTCATGGAATCAGTAACAATATCTTTTTGTTCATTCTGCAAGTCCAGACGTAATGTCCAACACAACCTCATACAAAAGCCCCTGCTAATCCAGATGGTAATCCAGAAAGACGGCACTGTAATTGCAGAATCATCTGAGTCAGAGTCAGAAATGAAAGCATACACTCCTTTAATCCCAGGACAAAATTTTTAACAGGCATTTCAAACAAAAACAGTCTCCAAAAGCTACTGCTTTCCTCAAACTGGGTTAACCAAAGATAAAACATTTTATCCCACTCGCTCCATTTCAGCACAATACTATCTGAGAGTTCATACACACAGGAATATAATCCCGATACTTCCAGTAGAATCCGCACAGTTTGTGTCCAGTTCAAAGATTATAGCCAAACACTCAATTGGCATTTGCTTAAGGACCACGCTTTATAAAAGGGTACCAAGTCAAAAACAATCTGTTCAAGAAAATGTAATTAATATAATTTTTGCATCACTAAATACAGAGATCCATCAAATTCTTTCACCATATTGTTGATTTTTTGACTGCTTTAGATCTAATCGTTCTCCTTGTTTTAGACATTTACATCTGCTTTTAAGTTTTTATGGTTGCCTGTTGGCAGGCAGCAAAGTGGAGCTGTCGATGCTACTGCAGAATAATGCAAGGTTTGTTATGAATTAAATATTAGAAACCTTAACACAGCGGCCAATAAGAATTATTTGCCTTATTAAAGCAGCAGAAGACGCTGATTAAATTTTCATTGCATTGCAGTCTTTTTCCCATTTCTGCTTTCAATTCATCATTCTAATGTATGAAAGGCTCGCCGAATAATGGCAGGGGGACTTAATTTCTGGAATGCAAATATCGCAAAGAAAATACCATAAATACCCGCCCAGAAAACATTAAACAGTCAGTTCTAATTAAGTGAATACTAGCTAAGTAAATATTCTCTTAAAGGGAAAAAAATAACTCAAATGTCAAGAATTCCAGAAGGAAAGCACAATTACCTATATCACAAATATAGACAGATACACACTGTGGGTAGACTGGATCTTGGGGGAACTGGCACTTCTTACATCCTTCTTAGGCCCTAAAGCACTCTGAAGGAAGAGAAGACCATGATTATATACAGCTTTGCACAATTTCTGAAATTTAATTTTTACAAAAAAAAAAAAAAATGACAAGGATATTAAGAGCAATGTGCACAATGTAGCGCTCAGCCAGAAGACCAGCCAGCGCTTCTGAATCCCTACATTATGTTTTAAATGTACATTTACTGCTGCAGATATATTTAGGGAATAAACTGCCCCTGCAAAAATACCATAATCACAGGTCCTATACTGAAGGTTGTTCACGTTTCTGCCTTAATGTGAGGGAGAAAATGAACTTCAAGTATCCATTTCCCCTAGAGAAAATCTCTTCCTTGAAACTCTGCAACTAATGAAATGGGGATCTATAAATAGCAGCATCATTACCATGAGAGCCTCTGCTCGGGACTATCTCTGCAGCTGACCCTCTTTATACTAATAACTACCAGGCTTCAGTCTCATTCCTCTGTACGGTGATCAATATTGGGACAGTTAAAAATGTGATGGAAATTTAACCCAAAGAAATGGTATTCACTTAACAAGTTTCCTAAAAGCACACAACCTGCCTATACATTCTATCCTGCTGCCCAGACTTTACTCGGAAGGTGAAGCTCTGGGTTTTGGCTTTGTTGTTGTTGTTATAATCATTATTAACTGAGATGAGTAGGACTCTGAAGCCCTTTTTCTAATGGTATAGAGATGTGCATCCTGACAAGACAAAAGCCGTAATACACCTGAAATGCTCCCTGCTGAATCTCTCTCGATGAACTCATTAAAATGGTTACTCTATTCCAAATATTATCCACTGAAGCATTACTGTGGTAAACTCTTGCTTAAATTGCCGAATACAGCGATGGATAAAAATCGGTGAGCATTTAATCAGTAAATGTAATGATTTGGAACAACATTTTACTCTTATTCAAAATACAATAGTTTCAAATGTGATAGATCACTCTAAAAAGTTAACCAATATTTAATATTACCATTTATTATAAATTAGGCCCTAATAAAGAA